AGCTGCATAAGATAAGTGAAATATTTATGCAGCTGTGTTAATTCATGTATTTACTCCTAGAGAGACATTCAGAATTGGACGTGGCTTTCCGGGAAGATTATCTCAAGACGCCCCCTGGAGCCACGTCATTTTGTCTCCTGTGGCTTGGCCTCCAGATGGTCTCTGAAGATGAAGCTGTGAACACATCCCCCAATCCAGACAGTCTGACCAGGAAAGCCCTGAACTGGGACAGAAAATACCTCTAAGAATCTAGACACTCTGTTAAAACAGGGAACCGCTCTTGGGTTTATCTGGATGCCTCTACTGTTTTTTTTATTTGCCACAGAGGGGAGGTTTCTGTTCAGAACGGCATTACCATGAGGCTAACTTGATCATATTATCACCAACACGACACTAAAAATGCTTTTTTGAATCCTTGAGCTGTTCATGGACAACAATGATGGGGTGGGGGAGGAAGAGAGGAAGGAGGGGAGGGAGTCAGTGATGATGGTGGTGGTGACAATGACATTTACTGAATCATTTCTATTTCCAGGTGGCTGTTTAAATATAATTTTTCATTTTATCTTCATGACAACCTTATCTGGTAAATATTTCTGTATTCAATTGCAGATGAATAAACTGAGGCTAAAAAAAAATCAACCTTTTCACAGAAGCATTTGGAAATGGGACAATAGATATCATCCAACATACACTAAATTACTTCTTACTCAAGGGTCTATGGGCTTCCCAGGTGGTGCTAGTAGTAAAGAACCTGTCTGCCCACACAGGAAGGAGATGCTGGTTTGATCCCTGGGTCTGGAAGGTCCCCTGGAGTAGGAAATGGTAACCCACTCCAGTATCCTTGCCTGGGAAATCCCATGGACAGAGGAGCCTGGTGGGCTACAGTCCATGGGGTTGCAAAGAGACAGGACTGAGTGCACAAGAGCACACACACACGTACACACACCGGGACCTATACATCTCAAGCATCTAATTAGCAAACTTAGACAGGCGTTCTGGAGAATTAGATCAAACAAAAGTCTGAAATGACTGACCCTCATCAGCAGTTAGTCCCCTTAAAGTAGAGGCTCCGCCACTTACTCCCTAAGGGACTGATAAGCCCACTGAGCTGCTGTTTCATTCTCCGTAAAATGATCGTAGGCAATATTTAACTTTATAAAGTTGTGATGCATATTCAATTAAAGAACACATGGAACACATCTGGTGTGGTGATTGGCATATCCTATTCCCCAAATATGTTGCTGTTTCATAAAAGACGCTGCAGAAGGGACAGCAGGTGTAGGTGGGTGTAGAGTTAGAACCGACAGATTTGACAGCTGCCCATCATATTTAAGTTTCCTGCCAATGAAATACATCCTGACACTAACCATTCACCCATGTGTGCATGTATTCATCCAGGCCATCAATGACCAGTTACTTGTCATGTTCAAGACTCTGTGGTTTTTACTGCTGGAAACGAGACCCTTGTCAGCGGGGTAGTTCACACCACAGGGAGGCGACCACTGTGGCAGATGTGTCCTTCCCTTCCCTGTGCACACATGGCTGGTTGTCTAACTCCCAAACTCCTCTTTACAAGGCTGAGCATGCTCCAGAGCAGCGGTCACAACCTTTTTGGCACCAGGGACCACTTTCACGGAAGACAATCTTTCTATGGATGGGGGTGGGAGATGGTTTCGGGATAACTCAAGCACATTAAATCTATCGTGCACTTTATTATGATTACATCAGCTCCAACTCAGATCATCATCAGATCCCAGAGGTTGGCACCCCTGCTCCAGAGTATACTCTGGGCTTGGCCATAGGACTTGCTTCAGACAGAAGGGTGTTAGCAGATGTGAATGTGACAAAGCTCGCCAACAAGGACCTATTGTATAGCACGGGGAACTCTGCTCAATATTATGAAAGAAAGTCTTAGTCGCTCAGTCATCTCTGACTCTTGGCAACACCAAGAACTGTAGCCTGCCAGGCTCCTCTGTCCATGGGACTCTCCAGGCAAGAATACTGGAGTGGGTTGCCATTCCCTTCTCCAGGGGATCTTCCCAACTCAGGGACCAATCCAGGGTCTCCTTGCATTGCAGGCAGATTCTTTACCATCTGAGCCACCAGGGAAGCCCAATCAATGTAACAACCTAAATGGGAAAAGAATTTGAAAAAGAATAGACACGTGTGTCTGTAGAACTGAATCACTCTGCTATGCATCTGGAACTAACAGGGCATTGCTGATCCAACTATGTGCTGTGCTGTGCTGCGTCGCTTCAGTCGTGGCCGACTCTCTGTGACCCCATGGACTGTAGCCCTCCAGGCTCCTCTGTCCGTGGGATTCTGCAGGCCAGAATCCTGGAGTGGGCAGCTGTACCCTCCTCCAGATCTTCCCAACCCAAAGATCAAACCTAGATCTCTCGCATTGTAGGCAGATTCTTTACCTTCTGAGATAACAAGGAAGCCCATGAATACTGGAGTGGGTTGCCATGCCCTCTTCCAGGGGATCTTCCTGACCCAGGGATAGAACCCATATCCCCAGGGGCTCCTGCAGTGCAGGCAGGCTCTTTACCCACTGAGCCACCTGGGAAGCCCTGATGCAACCATACTCCCATATAAAATCAAGAATTTAAAAAAGAAAGCTGAGACTTGCAATGTGCCCATGCAGGTGGGTGCTTTCTCCTGTGCCTCCAACACAGCCAGGAAAAGAGCTTCTCCCAGGTAGCTGTGGCCCTTTCGGCCTGAGACCCAGAATAAACACGGGTGGAATGGAGACCATAGAGATGATCCCTGGGCTTGCAGCAGCAGGAGGTGGCACCACCATAGCCCAAGGCAAGCTTTCCCACTCAACCTGCGCTCCCATGAGAAAAATAAATGCCAACTGTCATGTGCTTCCAAGATGTCACAGCAATAACTGGGCGACACGGCTACAAGTCACTATGACACAGCAGAGAACATGGCTGTTGATCTGACTGAAAGGTACCAATGCCCTAGAGAGAATCCAAAGATTCAGATGCTCTCATTTGGGAGTTAAATATAAAACACATTTAGGTTTCTTGATGACACTGTGAGAATCTAAGGTTTAAACCTGGGAGTAGAGGGTGTAAGGCATTATGCCCTTTACTCAGGCTCACATCAACTGCACACACAAACCTCTGCTTCTTTCAACACTGTATTTGGCCACAGTGGTTGACAGACTGTCCTCCCCAGCCCTGGACAAAAGCAGTATGTTTTGGCGATGTGCATGCTCAGTCGCTTCAGCTGTGTCCGACTCTTTGTGATACTGTGGACTGTAGCCCACCAGGCTCCTCTGTGCATGGGATTCTTTAGGCAAGAATACTGGAGTAGGTTGCCTTCTCCTACTCCAGAGGATCTTCCTGACCCAGGGATCAAATCCAAGGTTCTTACATCTCCCTCACTGACAGGCAGTTTCTTTATTTCTAGCTCCACCTGGGAAGCCCTGCATTTTCTAGAACCATCTCCAAATATAGCCTCCACCCATTCTTGAACGCAGCTTCTGACCTACGCCCTGAACTTCTGTTTCCTACTCATATTTACTCATTTTTAGGGTTCACCTGCCATCTCTGCTGCTTTTGCTTTTCCTATCTCAGTGTTGGCAAGACCAAGGGGAACCAGCATGCCATTTGAGCCAGGACAGGATTCTAAAACCATGTCCTGGAGCAATGAGCTATGTTGAAATCCCCAACTAAAAGTAGAGAAGGACAGAAGGAAATGCTGCTGGAGAGAGCCAGTCCAGTTAGCTGGAAGCTCCATAAATACCCTCATTCCATTAGACTGCAAGTCCATGAGGGTGGAAATGGTCTTTTTTCAGGATAGGCAGGCAAGGGGTGGATTGTAGTGGAAACCCTTGGGATTTCTGCTAACTCTTCCCTATATTGCGATCACCTCTCTTTCATCTCCCCATAAGAAAATAGTAGGAGCTGTCATGTTAGAACAACCCTTTATTCAACCCCACCCTTTATTCACTCCTGAGGGGTCCAGGAGAGAATCTTTGACCCAAAATCCATCAGGAATCCTTCCTCTGGAATTTGAAATTTAGAATTTGGAAAAGAGAGACTGGGACTTATTACGGCCTAGTTATGTGATGATCTAGAAATATATATGATGCTCTAGAAACAGTGACGGACAGGGGAGCCTGGTGTGCTGTAGTCCACGGGGTCTCAAAGAGTCAGACACTTAGCGTGACTGTGTTCAGAGACCTTGCAACTGAACAACAACTGCTCTAGAGCAGAGCTTTCCCCCTTAATCCTGATACTATAAACGTGTGAAACTGAAAGTTGCTCAGTTGTGTTTGACTCTGTGACCCCATGGACTGTAGTTCACCAGGCTCCTCTGTCCATGAGATTCTCCAGGCAAGAATACTGGAGTGGGTTGCCATGTCTTCCTCCAGGGGATCTTCCTGACCCAAGGATTGAACATGGGTCCCCTGTGTCGCAGGCAGATTCTTTACTGTATGCTTGGGGTCAGAGAATTCTGTATTTTGAGATTTTGTAGGAAGGCTGTCCTGGGCATTGAAAGATGTTTGGCAGCACCCCTCACCCCTGGCCTCTACCCACCAGATGTTGGTATCAAATAACCTCCTTGTCAGGACAATCAAAAACATCTCCAGATGCAGCCAACTATCCCCAGGTGATGAAATCCCTGCCCCACACTGAGAACCACTCCTTCAGAGAGAGGACCCATGAATTCCGGCTGCTGAAGCCCCAGGGCTGCCCTGGTTCCTGCTTTTCCCCCTGAACTTATTTGCTCAACTCTTTCCTAAATTCACTGAGATAGACACTTCTGCATCCTCAAAATAACGTTTTAATTGACGTAGTTGTCCGTAATTGGTTTCCATGATAAGCAACCTAAAGAGCCATGGTACCATGTGGTCAGCACTCAGTAAATACTTATAGGGAGCTAAGTCATTACCCAAAGATCCACTGGAAAGCCAGTTGGGAAGCAGAGAGTGTGAGGGTCTCAAGTCCCCTGGAAGTAGGGGAAGTCAACCAAAGTCTTACCATCACCCACAAACTGGAGCAGGGCCAGGTCAATCTGCCTCTTCCACGGCGAACCCTTCTGGAGGGCGATCCCATAACCAGTGGTAGCAAAGATGTACCCACTCCCAATGGTCACCAGCTTGCAGCCTTCGTCCCTCCCAGCCTTGTAATTCAAGACTGCAGCGTCGTAGATGAAAGCGTCCAGTTTCCTGCAATGACAAGAAGCCAGGGAGTCAAGGCGATGGCGAGGTACCATCTCGGGGCCCATTGTCCAAGGCCCGATCCAGCATCGCACACTTCCCTATCACCCAGGAGATGATGACTCATGACTGCTCCATCCCATCATCATAAAAGGATCTATTTTTAATGAGGAGATAAAAGCCAAAAGCTTTTCTCCCCGAGTTACAAGAGGCAGCTAAATAAAGACATGAAGACTCCTTATGCCCAAGTGAGTAAACAGTCGTGTTTGCTGGTTTGCTAAGTGTTAGACCTCAGCGCTCCCAACAGTGTAGAACGGTGGCCTATTTAGAGAGGTTTGCATTGGAATAAAACAAACCATTAATGGACAGGAGAGAATTTGGTGGCTGGATGTGGGAAGCAGAGAGAGACTAAACAGGAATGATGTTCCTTCCTGCCCAAAGAAACATGTTTACTATTCATTTCTATTACAAAAATAATTACATCATAATTTTTAGAAGCCCAAATAATGGAGAAAATATTAAGAGTACAGCTGAAATTAAAATTGCCTATAATTCTGTAACTCAGAGGCAACCTCTGTTAATGCATTTGTGAACAAACTTCCGAATTTTGTATGCATTTGTATACACACACACACACATACACACACTTTTGAAAACAGGGGCTGGTAACTTCTTTTGTAAAGACACTATAATAAATAGTTTAGGCTTAGTCTCTGATGCAACTGCTCAACTCCGCTGCTGTAGCAAGTTATAGACTGAATTGTGCTTCCTCAAAATTCATATGTTGAAGTCCTAAGCCCCAGTATCTCTGAATATGAGCTTATTTGGAGATGGGGTCATTGCAGGCGTGATTAGTTAAGGCGAGGTCATATTGGAGCAAGCGGGGCTCCTAACCCAATACCACGGGTGTCCTGATAAAAGGAAGGGATTTGGAGAGAATGAATGTATAGTTGCCAGGGGGAAGACTGGGGAGAAGGGATAGTTAGGGAGTTTGGAATGTGTATGTACACACTGCCCTATTTTAAGTGAATAGCCAGCAAGGACCGACAGTTCAGCACAGGGAACTCTGCTCGATGTTATGTGGCAGCCTGGAGAGGAGGGGAGCTTGGGGGAGAATGTGTGTTAGAGATTCAGTTGTGTTAGAGATTCAGTTGTGTTGGACTTTTTTGCAACCCTGTGGACTGTAGCCTACCAGGCTCCTCTGTCCACAGGATTTCCCAGGAAAGAACACTGGAGTGGGTTGTCATTCCCTTCTCCAGGGGCTCTTGGAACCCTGCATTGAGGGCGGATTCTTTATCATCTGAGCTACCAGGGGAGAATAGATATGTGTACATGTATGGCTGAGTCCCTGGATACACGCCTGAAAGTATTATAATATTGTTAACGGTTAGACCCCAGTACAAAATAAAAAGTTTTAAAAGAGTAAAAAGAAGGAATTTGGACACAGATGTGCTCACAGGGAGACTGTCATGGGAAGGTTGGAGTTATCCTGACACAAGTCTAGGAACCACCAGAGGCCAGAAGACCCTTCTCCTGGTGCCTTCAGAGGGTGCACAGCCCTATGGACAACCTTGATCAAGGCCTTCCAGCCTCCAGAAATATGAGACAAAAAAATTCCTATTGCTTAAGCTTCTCAGTTTGTGATGCTTTGTTATCACAGTCCTAGGAAACTATACACAATATGAGAGCAGCTATTAATAACATGTAAATGAAGGAGTTCAACTCTGTCCCAATAAAAGGTTATTTACACAAAATAGCCTGGCCCATGGGACATTAGTTTGCCAACACTGTTTCAATTTCCAAAATATAATGATACCATGCAAACCATTTTACCAATGTCTTTCTTTTCTCATTTCATCCCACACATAGTGAATGTGTTTCTATGTCAATAAACAGAGCACTCTTTTTAATTTTTTGGTACATTTATTTTTATTGAGGTATAACTTATACGAAATAAAGCACTAGATAAATTTTTACATATGTGTACATCCTTGAAATCATCACATAGATCAAGATAGAAAGCAACATCACCATCATCTCAAAAGTTCCGTTCGCCTTTCCCAGTCAGCACCCTCCAAAAAGCAAGCATCCGGTAATCCTCTCAAAGATATTGTTGCCGCTGTTTAGTTGCTAAGTCATGTATGAGTCTTTCCGACTCCATGGGCTGCAGCACACCAGGCTCCTCTGTCCTCCACTGTCTCCTGCAGAATGCTCAAATTTACGTCCATTGAGTCTATGGCCATCTCATCCTCTGCCGGCCTCTCCTTTTGCCTTTGATCTTTCCCAGCATCAGGGTCTTTTCCAATGAGTTGGCTCTTCGCATCAGGTGGCCAGAGCATTGGAGCTTCAGCATCAATCCTTCCAATGAATATTCAGGACTGATCTCCTTTAGGATGGACTGGTTTGATCTCCTTGCTCAAGGACTCTCAAGAGTCTTCTCCAGCACCACAGTTAAAAGCATCAATTCTTTGATATCCAGCCCTCTTTATGGACCAACTCTCATATCTGTATATGACTACTGGAAAAACCACAGCTTTGACCACATATACCTTTGTTGGTCAAGTGATGTCTCTGCTTTTTAATACCCTGTCTAGATTTTGTTGTGGACATTTTGTCAGAACTCTTCACTGTGGAAGGACTGATGTTGAAGCTGAAACTCCAATATTTTGGCCACCTGATGTGAAGAACTGACTCATTTGAAAAGACCCTGATGCTGGGAAAGATTGAAGGCAGGAGGAGAAGGGGACAACAGAGGATGAGATGGTTGGATGGCATCACTGACTCAATGGACATGAGTTTGGGTAAACTCTGGGAGCTGATGATAGACAGGGAGGCCCAGTGCGCTGTGGTCTGTGGGGTCGCAAAGAGTTGGACACGACTGAACGACTGAACTGAACTGAACTTCACTGTGACCCATCCATCTTGGGTGGCCCTTCAAGGTATGGCTTATGGCTTCATTGAGTTACACAAGCCCCTTCACCAAGCCAAGGCTGTGATTCATGAAGGGGTTCAAAGACATGGCTGTGGCTAATTCATGACCTACATACCTATTAGTGGGCATGTATATTGTTTCCTATTTTTTAAGTTATTTAAGAAGGCTGAAATGATCAACCACACTTGAAAACAGAGATGAAAGTATAAACTCTANGTACATGACTACTGGAAGAACCATAGCTTTGACTACATGGACCTTTGTCAGAAAAGTAATGTCTCTGCTTTTTAATATGCTATCTAGTTCTGTCATGGCTTTTCTTCCAAGGAGCATGTGTGTTTTAATTTCATGGCTGCAGTCACCATCTGCAGTGATTTTGGAGCCCAAGAAAATAAAGTCTGCTACTGTTTCTACTGTTTCTCCATCTATTTGCCATGAATTGATGGAACCAGATGCCATGATCTTAGTTTTCTGAAAGTTGTGATTTAAGCCAACTTTTTCACTCTCCTCTTTCACCTTCATCAGGAGGCTCTTTAGTTCTTCTTTACTTTCTGCCATAAGGGTGGTGTCATCTGTGTATCTGAGGTTATTGATATTTCTCCTGGTAATCTTGATTCCAGCTTGTCCTTCATCCAACCCAGCATATCACATGATGTACTCTGCATAGAAGTTAAATAAGCAGGGTGACAATATATAGCCTTGATGTACTCGTTTCCTAGTTTTGAACCAGTCTATTTTCCATGTCCAGTCCTAACTGTTACTTCTTGACCTGTATACAGGTTTCTCTGAGACCCATGGACATTGCAGGGGTGGGGAGGGGGTAGTTGCTAAAGGTTGATTTGTGCATGATGGCAGGAGGGCGTGTGACAGGAGCCATGGAAGAGCAGATGGAAGGGATCTGTGTTCGTTCTCTGCATTTGGATGACAGCACCACCTCAGGAAAGTCACTACTTTCTTTTGCACTGCTGGTTTCTCATCTGTGAGATGAGGTTGTCATCGTGGTCCTGTGGAACTGTGGAATTTTATAATTCTGCAAGCTGGGTCATCTTCTGTCACTCTGAATAGGGAAACTGAGACTTAGGATAACATGTTTCCTGGGGTCTTTGGGACAAATGGATGGCATGTGTCCTCTTAATGAAGTTGGAGTACTTGCAACTCCAATGCTTTATATTGCCATGGGGATGCTAAGAACCTGGGTTTTATTGAAACTTTCTAAGACTCACCCATCTCTCTGACCTCAATTCCTCAAAAAGCAAACAAAAATAAATGCCTCGGTGTGTACAAGGGTATTTATCTATTAAGGCCATTTGTTGATATTCATGGGGTGAAAGTCCTGCCCATTCTGCTAACCTACCACATGCTGATAGATTTCTGGAATGGAAATTAAATCTGTATCTGGCACCCGTATAAGGGCTATCCAACAGCAGTTTAAATTTGTATTTTATGGAGAGGCACAGATTTCTGCAAATCATTATCATATATTTCATGACAAGTCTTGAGCTGAGCAAAAAACAGCTGGATAAGCCCAAAGAAGAAGGGGAAGTTTACTTGGAAAACGAAGCTTGCAAAAGCAAGATGTCATCAAGTCAGAGGGAGGAAAACTGCAAAAGACACAGTTAATTCTGAGCAAAGCAATCACACGTTGGCACATCTGGGTGGACTGGCACCAGTACTCGTAGAGAAGTCTGGCCAGGAAGACTCTCTGTGGTCTCAGGGCCACGTCTGAACCAAAGGAGGACAACATGTGAAGGAAACCACAGGGCTATGCAACTTTGATTTCTGTCCCTCACGGAGGATTCTAGACAGCTGGAGTCTAAATGCATTGGTCACAGAAACCTGCATGTTCAAAAACATCTTAGGGCTCACACAATACCCACGGACAGACACGGCCATTGTTTGCACAATGCTTCACAAAAGTGCACTGTATTTTACATGCATTGTCTCAGTGGGGCCTCACAAATGCCCAGTTGGGACATTTATTATTATTATTTATTTTATTTTCTTGTGTTGTTTATGAACAGATGAGATTTTTAGAGGTTAAGGAATTGTAGTGCTGGAGAAAACCTGAGAGTCCCCT